TCTGTTACGCAGCAGAAACGTAGCATGCACTGTGGCTACTACACATTTCCTAGAAATTTCTCAGATTCGAATATTTACAAGATATAGATATCCGGGCTTTAGAAGAATTCGAGAATCAAAATTTCCGACTATTCAATGTTTCGAATAGTCCGAACATTGAAGTTTTCGGATACTCGAATTTTTGAATTGATTGGAACCGATATCTCGATCAAATTTTCGAATGATTCGGAATATAAGAGTTCAAATATTCGAATTTTCGAACAAGTATTCGAATTTTCGAACAAGTATTCGAATTTTCGAACAAGTGTTCGAATTTTCGACGGATACTTGACAAAAGTCATTTTCCATGTAAAATTTGCATTCAATCGATATATGTTTTAGAGACACCGCTGCCGCACTTCATCTGTTTGCGGGGTAAGTCATAGCGCTTAGCATGCAACGTGACTTTCTATTTAGAAAAGTAATCTTCAGATAGTGCAACCCTGAGCTATCGAATACAGGATTTCTTCAGTTAAGCTCCATGGTAAAGTTCTCCGGTATAAACTTTCCTTCCATTTGTGATAATAGCACTCAATGCATCCATAAACCTACTGATTTTGCGGTCTATTTGAAACATGTGATATCATCTTTCAAGGTGTTTAGTATGCCCAAACCCTGGCTATGTCGGGACAACTCTGCGTCTTCTAGTCTCCTGAATTATGACCATCTAAAATGTGCCATCCCCAATCAATGCCAAAGCCTATAACAACTGACTGAATTCGGCACCATGGTGTATGTGTTGGAGCCTTTACTCGTATAGTGATGATGCTTCTAACAAGACTGAGTTCTAGCTCAATAAATGTGCAGCTTCTTAAAATAAAAAATTCTTCTCTCAATACGTCCCACAACGTCAACTGCAACACTAAGAATATGAGTCAAGGTTTTCGTACTACATCAAATATTACCTTCAAATGTTCGAATATCGGATTTGTTCAATATTAGAATTTTCAAATATTCAAAAATAGAAGATAATATCCGAACAACTGAACAAGTTGAATCGGAAGTCTCGAATATTCGAATTATTCAAATTTGATTATCTTTTCGAATCCGAATCATTAATTTGGAATTTGTATTCAAATCTGAATAATTCCAAATCAAATATTTTATTCGAATGATCGATTAATGACTCGGTCCA